GTCATAGCAATATATTCACAGCATATAACATGAACTCGCAAACTTGTACTCATTTTTGTACTTCTATGCTAAAAGATGTTTGGGTATACTTCAATCCAATTCTTTCTTAATATATTTATTGTAAAAAATATTTAAATAATGAAATATAAAATATGTTACGTTATTTGTATACGTATAATATATAATCTATGTATATAAAATATTTTTGTTTCAGTCATCAAAGCTTTTTGTTTTATACGAGCATGCTGCTGGTTATGCCATTTTTTCTGTCAAAGAATTCGAAGAGGTAGGAATGTCTCTTCCTCAAGTTGAAGCATCTGTCACAGATTTATCTCGTTTTAATTCAGTTGTGAAATTAGTTGGATTTTCACCCTTTAAAACTGCTTTAGCAGCTTTGGAAAGTATAAATAGTATTTCTGAAGGAATTATCCCGGAAGATTTACAGCTGTTTTTAGATTCATGTATACCAAAATCTGGAAAAAAAGACAAAGTTGTGCTTGGAGTATCAGATCCAAAACTTGGTGCTAGTATTACTGAAGCGTTAGATATAAAATGTGATTATGCTGGTGTTATTCCAGAAATTCTTAGAGGAATAAGACTTCATTTCCATAATTTAGTAAAACATTTCACTGCTAAAAGTTCGGGAATCGCACAACTTGGACTTGGTCATAGTTATTCTAGAGCTCAAGTTAAATTTAATGTCAATCGTGTGGATAACATGATCATACAAAGCATAGCTCTATTAGATCAGTTGGACAAAGATATTAATACATTTTGTATGCGAATAAGGTAATTATTAAAATAATGTACATATATATAATCCATAAATATACAGTATTCAGTTTATTAATTATATGTGTATTAATTATAGAGAATGGTACAGTTATCATTTTCCAGAGCTTGCAAAAATAGTTCCTGAGAATCATATGTATGCCAAAGTTGCAAAATTAATAAAAAGCAGAAAAGAATTTACAGATGAAAAATTAGAAACCTTAGAACAAATTGTTATGGACACTGCGAAAGCTCAAGCAATTATGGATGCATCCAAATCATCTATGGGAATGGATATCAGTCCTGTTGATCTTCTTAATATTGAAATGTTTGCAACTCGTGTTAGTTCTTTGGCTGATTACAGGAAACGATTAGCAGAATATTTAAGATTTAAAATGACAGGAATTGCGCCAAATTTGGCTACATTAATAGGTGACCAAGTAGGAGCCAGATTAATAGCACATGCTGGATCTCTTACAAATTTAGCGAAATATCCTGCTTCTACTGTACAAATATTAGGTGCAGAAAAAGCCTTATTTAGAGCCTTGAAAACTAGAGGTAGCACTCCAAAATATGGACTACTGTTCCATTCGACGTTTATTGCTCGCGCAGGTACAAGAACTAAAGGCAGAATTTCAAGATATCTTGCGAATAAGTGTTCTATAGCATCAAGAATTGATTGTTTTATTGACATGCCAACTAATATATTTGGCGAAAAATTACGACAACAAGTAGAAGATAGATTAAAATTTTATGAAACTGGAGAAGTACCTAAGAAAAATATTATTGTAATGAAAGAAGCTTTAGAAGAAGTTGCGGAACTAACAGCGAGTGTGGAACAAGAATCATCCAAAAAGAAAAAGAAAAAAGATAGAAAAAGGAAAAAAGAAATTTTAGAAAATGGAAACAAAAATGAATTTGTTGAGAATGGAATACAAGAAGAAGCTGAAGAGTCAAAGAAGAAAAGGAAGAAATCAAAAAATATAAATGAAAATGAATAAAAAATTTAATATTGTCTTTATGTAATTATAGCGATTTATAATGATTGTAACCAGATTTTTTTCATATCAATATAAAATTATATATTGAATATTGAAATTCATGTTTTTTGAAACAACTTCAGTCATAGTAGCAAAATCTAATAATTCCTATTATAAAATTAAATTTATAATTGACTTAATTTAATTTAAAGATATATCTTCTATATGGTGCATATATATGTTGAGTCTTAAATTTCCTTTAACCGTTTGACTATAAACAACGCCTAGGCACTATTATTTTATGAAAAAACAATTGTAAAAATATCATCTTTTATAACTTAAATTACTGCTTATATATACAGATATATATTATTTTTTTTTCTATTTCTTTTTATTTCAGGATATATAGTATTAGGAATAGTAAACATACATTTATTCCTGATATTGTATATACAAAAATAAAAAGAAATGAATAACTATAGGTGTAAGTATAAATATAATAAAAAAAATATATATACTTATAGATTCATAATTTATAATTATACTTGTAATAGATCTAAACTTTTCTTAAATAAAATTAAACAATAAACTAATTAAATATTAAAAATCTATACTTTAATAATTTATATTTTCACTTGAATTATTTTTCAAATGAACTTCAAGAATCAAGATATATTTTTAATACAATAATAAATTTAACTTATTGTTTTCCAATTGAAATTAATTTTTTTATAATTAAATACACAGTATTAAATTTTAAATATCAAATTTTTATCTTTTATTGCTTATAATTAAAATTAAAAATTAAATCTTATTATTATAATTAAAATTAAATCTTTTATTGCTTATTATAATTAAAATTATATTATGAAATAATATAATTAAAATTAATAATATTCAGCCATTGTTGTGTATTTTTTTCTTTCATGTTTTCTAATTTATGTTTACTAAATATGTATCTTCGAATTTTTGTCAAGATAGACAAGGAAGTCATTCAGCTTCAATTATATTTTAAGAATATAGAAGAATTTTTAATTATATTACTTCTATTTTATTCTTTTACTAAAGTTTAGTAAAAAAAATAAAAATATATATTTTTAAATTAATCATGAAAATGCATAAGATATGATTGAATAAAAAAAGAAAAGTATAAAATTAAAATTGAATTTTATATCAAAAATAAATAAAATTGTAATTTAGAGTTAATTAAATGTTAAATTAGATAAGATGATAAATTGGGCAATTCAAATGTGAAGGAAAGGTATATCGTGTTAATAATTGAAAAATAAAAAAAAATAGTTAACAATTCATATTAACACCAGCACCAATGAGCATTTAATAACGATAAAACTGTGATGCAAGTATAAATACCGAAATCAACAATTACAATTACCGCGACTATTGTAAACAATATTCAGTCAAAAATCGACGAATTAAGTATTACTGGTTATCATTCGCACATATATACCGATAAATGACATAATAACTACACTTCATCAGAGGAACAATAATTTTCCAAGTCTGTAATATCTTAAAATTGTAAGGCATTTATAAATAGCCGTGTAGTTCAAATGCGCGATTAATATTGATATGTACCCGTACGTGTACTTACATATTGCTTAATAATTTTAATTTATTACTTCTTATTTTGAAAGATCTTTTCATAATAAATGCAACTTTATAGATATACACGTGTGTATAATATCTAACAATACAAATGTTTTTTTAAAGTTAGTTTAGACTAGCCGATAATTGTAATTCATTTCATACACATGTACAGTAGAACATTACAAATTTTAGTACAATTTGTAATGAACAATGTAATTAATTGTAATGAAGTTATTAAGTTATATTCATAAAGCGTACAATGAACAATATCAACGCACGTACCATAAAAATATAATACGTACTTAAATAAGAATTAATAACGTGTACTTTAATAAAATGATTTACTTTCTATTTTTTTTAAATTAATTTAAATTTAAAAAATTAATAAAACTTTTTGAATATACAACTATTTTCCAATATTTTGTATAAAAATTTATAAAACTTATTTACTAATGAAAAAAAAATTCATTCCATAATCTTCATCATTTTCACCTTGACGTTTGACTTTACAAAGGCCTCTGTAATTCTAGATTGTAATCATGCCTCTCGCACGGTTCAACTGATGATGAAACCGTTTTTATTTATATTGACTATACTTGTTTATATTTGTATAATAATACATACATATATGTATATACTAACATATACATATGTATATATATCTTAATACTTTAAAAATATATTCCCATCTACATCAAATAGTACGCTTTATAAAATACTCAAATAATGGAAAATGTAAAGGATCATTTTTCCCTTACAAGATTCAGTCTCTGATACTCGCATAGAAGCTTGTTAATTTTCCACATCAACTTTGTGAGATGATTCAAACAAAATTTGATAACACAATGATAAAATTCTAATACAGACATAACACTACTTTCATCCACATAGAATAAGTTTCGGACACCTGTTCTATGGATATTAATGTATGGAATATTATATAAGCAACAGATTATCTAAATCATTCATCCAAGAAAATGTGTAAATATAAATTTCAACTTTGCTGCAAATTCTGAAATATTTTATGAATTTAATTTCTATTACTCAATAAATAACGGATGATTATATTTACTATATTAAAGTATAACTGTGAAATAAAAATTTTGCTACATAACATATATGCGATAGTAAATAAAACTAACAAATATAGCATGCAAACAATTTTTTCAACATTTTCTCACGAATAAATATTTCAATATCTAAACATTCTATAGCAAATTATTCTATGATATATTTCAGTATCATGCAGCAAAGGTATATCATATCACTGAGAATAAACAGTACACATAAAATTAAACAAGACTTAATAATATATTAGTTAATGTCTAATTATTAATAATTTTTTTTCTTAAGAATCCCATAAACAATTATCTTAAAAGATATGCATTTCTTCATTGTTAGTAACAAAGAACTAAGGAAATGCTATTTCATTTTTCCTTCTGTCATCTATTTTACAAAAATTGTAGAATATCATTATTCAATCACAAAGATGATTAAATTTTTTATAACTATATAATTACGTAACTATGAAATTCTTAAATATTTTACAATAAATCATAAACATGTAATATTCTTAAATCACCATGCTGAGTGAAGCGTTTTTGAAACGCCAAAAATGTCCCATTGCGCTGATTTGTGCTTCTGTGCTTATTTTCGAGATAATAAAATCTCGTATCCTGCATTATATGCTTTTTTATTTTAATACTAATTTTATATCATTTTTTCTCTAGTGCAAAACTAACTGCAGTAGGGAAGCACTTATTATTAGTAATATTATTGCATCTTTCTGTTTTTTATAGACGAATAGCATCAATTATCAAATCATAATTATAATAGAAAAGTAAAACCATTCTTACATTTTAAATCGTTAATGTAAATGCAGTTTTCTAAAGTCTGCAGTAGTTCTATTCTCTATCCTTGTAAAAACATTCTCCATTTTTTTAAGAATTTGAATAACGTTAAACAAAATGCCTTATATCAAATAGTAAATAAAAGTAGTATACTACATTTTTTCCTCCCGAGTATCTATAATTCACTTTCATGCATATATTACTTACGATACATTATACATGTAAGGCATAATCTTGATTCATTTAATTTACATTATGTATAAAAGATTTAAGACAAATTTACCTGATTTGTTCCCACATGATTTGCAAATAACATAAATATTCATCAGAAAAAGTATAACATTCGTATTATGGAATGTTACTTGGGAACGCATTTTATCTAGAATTATTAGTTTAACAAATATATCTATGCAGCTGCTCAGAATGTTAAATTAATCAAGTATTTTACTCAGCACTTATTATGATTATATGCAACTTAGTTTTTAATAAATTGCAATTTTTATTACATTTTTAAATAAAATAATTGTAACAAAATTCATATCATAAAATATTAGCAAATTATTCAACTTAAAATATATAAAATCCAAAAATTGAAAATATTTTTTTTAACTTTGTGAACACATGATTATGCAATGTATATTTCATTGACCATTTTGTTCTGACATTTATAATAGCAATTGTTTACAGTTGCACCCTGTATAATTCGACAGCATTGTCCAGAAAATAGAAAATTTATCTCCGTTTTTATTAAATAAATAGATTGTTTACAACAAGCCTTGGTTGTTCTTAATTCCAAGTTATTTCGTTTATGTCTTCTATCTTTGCTAATATTAGCTTTTATTTATTAAAAATGTTTCATTGAAATGCAGGGAAAAATGCTGGATTTAAATGTTGCTGTTGCTGTTGCTGTTGCTGTTGTTGTGGTTGAACCATTGACGATGTATATCCCATTGGTGTTGCTAAAATAATTAAATTATCTATGATAAAATGTTTACTTTTATGAATCATTATTAAGATGATTTTAAAAATTATTATTATTACACAATATATAATATATTTATACAAGGTGTTCACGGATTTACTATCCAATGTTTTTTTCCCATAAACGATAGATGCTGTATAAAAATGGAAGAAAATGAAGTTGTATTGTTTTTACACATAATATAATGATACATAAAAATTTTTTCTAATCATACTGTTTTTTGAGAACTGAAAGTGACCTTTAATTTTTAAATGGAATGTTACCTTTTTTTTTTACATTATATGAAATTTATTATATTTTTTTTACACGTATATGAATTCAACGATATACTATTCAATGACTTTCAAATAAGGTTACGAACGAAGGAAATAATGTTCAAATATTGCATATTACGTATCAGTGTTTCATATTGAAACTTGCAGATGATGTTTAATATGACTTCCATCCACTAGAATACACTTTTATGTTCTATGCAATATACTTTTGGTAAGTTCTGCTATTTATGATATTGATACATTCATTGTCATAGAAGCATTTCTCATTTTTTGTTTCAAATCGTTTAGACTTGCAGGCAGTAAACGATTCGCATGCTACGCATATATTTATGGCAATTGCTATTGTGCGGAAAAAACTCGAAACTAACTTAGATTTATCGAAGGCCTGATTGTAGGTTCTCTAAATCTTTTCTATATTTGAGGCATGCAAAAAAAGTCTAAAAATTCTTAATTTAAACACACTGAGTTTGGAGCATGTCCATGTCATACATAATATGTTGGCCTTAAACAAATAGTTTTGTGCGTTTTGTATACTTTAATAGTAGGTAACAATACAGACCTAATCATAACATAAAACTACTAAAAATGTAGAATATGAAATATTCATATTGAACATGAACTGTATACACATCTCAATATGAAACACCAGTAGGTACATCAATTATGCAATATCCGAAATATTTCTTTCGTTCCTGACCTTTTGTAACTGTGAAGGTATTGAATGATACATTGTTAAATTCATCTTCATATTCACTTTCAGTTCTCAAAAAACAGTATGACTAGAAAAATTTTTATGCACCATTATTATATTGCATATAAAAAACAGTACAATTTTATTCTTTTTCATTTTTCCATGTATCATTTGCAAGAAAAGGCGCTGGACAGTAAATCCATGAACATCCTGTGTATGTATTAATTGATTATTAATTAATAATTATTATTAATAAAAGTTATTAATTAATATATATAATTAAAAATATATATAATACTTGCAGTTATAAAAATGTTTTATAACATGATAAATAAAATAATAAAAATGACTAATAAATAAACTAATAAAATTGAAAAAGAATAAAAAATATCAGTATTATTATGTATTTAATAAAAAATATTGATAGTAATGCTATATTATACTATTTATTATAAAATAATTACTTTTATTGTATTTTATAATTGCAAATAGGAAGACATTAACAATAAAGTCAACAAAAAAATAAATTTCTTACTCACGATACTTACTTATGAGTTTGACTTGATGTTGTGGACTACTGCTTGCTAATTGATTCATTGTTGGTGCAGGTCCTGTATGTTTAATTTTACTTCCCATTATATTATCAAGATCTATATTTAATCCTGAACCAGCCCACGTAGAACCAACTTGTATATTTGTATTACTGGATGTTTGATTTTTGGAATTAGTAGATGTAGGAGTAAGAAGATTTGTAACTGGCGATAATCCAATTGTTCCTGGATATAGCAATTGTTTTAGTTTTAGTAATATTACAACTTATTACTTAACTTGATACTTATATAACTTATTAGATAATGAAATAGATTAAAATCGTTGGAAACTTTAGTAACAGATAAAAATATTTATCTCTTATTTATTTAATGTTAAATCTTATTTAATAATATTAAATTATTACAATATTGTTGGAAAGATAAATTATATATAAAAAATATTATGAAATATATAGTGTAATATATATTACATTTCTTAAATAATACTCATTCATATGTAATGCATAAAAGATTAAAAAAGTATTGTTTTAATTTTATATATTATATTCATAATGACATACAACATTTAAAAATAAACTTAGTATGTGCGAAATATTTTGTGAATACTTTTATACTCTTATATTCTCTAAAAGAATGTTTTTATAAATATAATTTAAATCTTATTAATTAAATGTTAAACCTATAATAGAGTCGATTAGAGACACTACTTTAGCACCTAAACTTCTACATTCTTTGTCATGATCACCATTGATTACATTCTGAGATAAATCTAAAAGCCATAGTCTTATTTCCATAATAGTTTCAAATAGTTCATTTATAATAGTATGCTTTGGTATCGCAATAACTACAGCTGCAATATTTTCTATCATTGCTATCCTAACTTTTGCTTCATCATGGTATCTCAAAATCCACGATAATTCTAAAATTTCTTTTCCCATTTTAGAAGCTAGTAAACAATTCTGTGCTGCTATCATTATTGTAGATAAAGTTTTCAAAAACCGAATTAATAAAATATTTTCTTGATCTGTGAAAATTTGTAATCCGCTATTTAAACAAGTATCTTGTTTGCCAAAACCATAAAGTAATGGATAAAAAAACGAAGACACGACATTTCCAAATTTATTTTTAAATGTTTTAGGTATTTTTGTGCTATGTGCGTATCTTCTTGTATTTAATTCAATTCTTTTATCAACAATTTTCTGCCAATTTTCTATTTTATCTTCGGACTTTTCAAATTCATCAAAATCATCACTGTATAATATCTTATATTGTTGGCTTTTCTCAGTATTAATAAGAAGCGATATTTTATTTGAAGTTTCTCTTGTTCTTCGTTTTGTTTTAGGTTCGTTAACTGTATCTTCCTTATTTTCATGAATTGGAATAGTCGATAATCTTCTAGCTGATTCTGCTAATATATCAAGAAAAAATAATCGTTGACTTACAGAATATTTATCTACTTCTAAGTAAAACTGTCTGCATAAAAATTCAGCACATTCTTTGGGATAGACAGTTACTATAGCTACACAAGCTTTAAATGTTAATACTTCAAAATTTTCTACATAACAGGATTCTTTAAGTGTAACAAGAAGTTCTAGTAATTCAATTGCAAAAGATATGTCATCACCTGGTAATTGTGATAATATCAATCTTTCACAAATTTCTAAAGATTCTGAAATAATATTTGGGTCTGAAGAATTTTTTTCATTTACTAAATTATCGCGTAGATCTCGTAGATACGCTGGTCGTAGTTTTTCACTAACTTTTGTATCGTGAGACATATCATATGACATTAAATCATCGTCACTATCCAATTCCGAATCACTTTTGATGTTATTCTTGTCTACATTATCTTCTAAAATTTCTTTATCCAACATAGTCGATTCCTTTGAATTTGCTACAGCTACGTTTTGTTCGTCTTTATTATCATCTTTTACTTTTACATTTATCTTGGATAAAAGATTACATTCAACACCTAATTCATATAATTTTTTGTCACCCAATGTATTAAATTCAATATCTTTAAAAATTAGTTCGTCCCTTTTAATATCTTCTTTCTTTTCTTTTAAGACATTTGTTTTTAAACTTAAGTTTTTTAAAGATTGTACTAAATCCATTACTTCACTAGACATAATATTATATTCAAAAGAAAGCTTTGGTACAGATTCTGATTCAGATAATTCATCAATAAAAATTTCACCAACAGACATTCCTATTGCTCTTAAAATAGCATGTGTAGATTCAAGATGGATAGATATACCAGAGAATAGTAATCTCTGAATAGTATCTTTTTCATTCCTGCTTAAATAATTTTTAGATTTTCTTACGCAAATAATAATTAATTTTGTAATATACTTGTGTTGTTCTACAGAGGTATGATTTAAAGCACTTTTATTACTCCACACATCTAAAAGTTTTATGAATAATTCGATCAAAATACGATTTTCATCTAAAAATTGTGCTAAATATGAGATCAAATTTATTACTAAACTATCATCATTATAATAACACATTAAAGGTATTTTCGTTGTTAATGTATATTTCCAATTTGAATTTAACAACACTTTACCAAAAATTTCATAAACTCCAAGATTTACATCACAATGTTTCAAAAATAATACAGCTAGTGGCTCTATGCTTCGTGTATCTAGGATTTCTAATATATTCTGAATTAAATTTCGTTCACTATTTTTATTTTCAAAACACCACTCTGCTAAAATATTAACAAACGATAACATATTTTCTGATTTTGTAGTGATCATTAATTTACTAATTAAAATTGAAAGCAATTTTAGTTCTACTTTAATATCGTAATGTAATCCAATATTTATAAAAGATATGGCACGAGCAAGATGGAAACTGATAATTTTAAGATACCTTTGAGGAAGAAAACAGTCAAATATTTTATCTTTTAATTTATTAGCTACGCGATTAGGTAACGAGATTAAAATTTGCACTGTTTTTTGCCATGTTTCATTAAATTCTTCTTCTTGTATTACGTTTTGAAATTGACATTTGCATGCATTTACTATTACAGAAAACAAAGAATCACTTTTCACTAACTGTTCCAAAATTATCGAAATAGTAAAAATATTTCTCTCATTTTCTGTTTCTTTCAAAGCAAAAACTAAAACAGTTAAAGATTCAGCTAATATTGGTAATGTAGCACCATCAATAATCATTAATTGTTGAAGTATTGGATCTAAAGTATTTCTTTGTAATGGCCAATTATGATCAAATTTTTTGATAATTTCTTCTAAAATTTTTCCATGTAACATAGAATCAATTTCTAAATTAAAATCAAGATTGCAGTAGTTTTGTGGACTAAGTGGACCTGGTAAAAATTTAACGTATTCAGAAATATATGATTTCAGTTTTTCCAAGCTATTATAACTTTTGATAGGACCCATGGAACATAATTCTTCCAAAAGTCGAATTGCAGCATATTTTGAAAGATTTTCAGCTGAAGTGATGCTTTTTTCCATCTTGGTTGCTGCAAGGAAAGACTTTCTTGGGAACATTACATTATCTTCAAATATATTTTCAATATTAAAACACGAACAAAATTTTATAACAAAAATTATTTTTTTCAAATTAGAAAAAAAAAATTTGTAAATTTAAAAAAATAGAAAAAAATAGTTTTCTAAGTAAAAATATTTTAAAACTTCAATTTTATGATACGTAATACTAAAATGTATATTATCAAAATTTGATATATACATTTAAATATTTTTTTTGTCAATGATTAAGTATTTAGTAGTCAACCAAATAGTGATTAGTATTACTAAATCATAAAATCATAGTTACATTTATATTAGTAAATAAATAACATATATTTACCTCCATGGCTAGTTGTGGCAGATGTTGAACTCATATTCAAAAACAGATTAGTATTATTAGTATTGTTTATTCGCCTATCCATAGATCCAGTACTCAAAGAATTTAAGCTATCTAAATCTGATAAAAGATCTGTATTTGAAGTTGCTATAAAAAAAATTATTTAAAATAATAATATATAATAATTAAAATAATAATATATAATAATTGAAAATGAATGAATAATAGTGTATAATGTACCTGTATTATTGTTCAATGATTGCTGATCACTAAGTGGTTGTAATGTATCAAATAGATTACTACTCATATTAGGATTTTGAGAAAGTGTATTTGTAGGAGGCATAGTTGTAAAAGAAGACGTATTTAATGATTGGGCATTGATAAACATCGGATTATTTACATTATCTGTTATTGAATTAACATTTAGTATTGTTGTGCCTACTAGATTAACTTGTGTCTGTGGCAGTTGTGGCTGCATTGGTGAATTAGATATTGTAACAGAAGAAGTAAAAGCTGATGTAAAATCTGCAAATTCATCATTGCTATCTTTCGTTTTCATTGTAGGACTGCCAAACGCACTAGTAAAATCTCCAAAATCTGCATTTGCATTCTGAATTTGTACATTAGGTTGAGTATTTGCTCTTGGATTAAAATCATCATCATCATCATTATCATCATTATCAACAACAACAATCGATTTGGAATTGTTCTCATTTTGAGAATCAAAAATATCATTTAAAATATCATTTTTGTTCTTATGTTTAATAGGTAAAGAATTATTTTTTGATCCAGATATACCATTCTGTAAATTTAAGTTGGAATTTTCAATTTAAATTAATAATCTCTTTTATGTAATGTTTCTTTACTTACATTAGATTGTTCTCTTCCATAATTTGCTGCAGCCCCTAAATCTACTTTTTTAATAGTTCTTGTTACTCTTGCTGGTGAAGCATTTGTTGAAGTTATAGATGTTATAGCAGTTTTATTAATGCGATCTATATTATCCATTGTATCTCTGTATTCTCTTCCTCCTCTTTTTGGGCTGGGATGAACATCATTATCGGAATCTTCTCTCTCGCCATCATCACTATTACATAAAAATGAAAATAAACATTAAGTAAACAATAAATATTAAGGATATTTGGTTGTTATTAACGAAAACTTATATTTACCTATTATTTGTATCCTCAAAACCTTTTCCTCTACTGTCACGATCCCAATCATTATAAGTATCTGTATTAGTTTTATCCCATTTTAATCTATCTGTCCACCTATCCCCTCCGCCAAATCTTACACCCATTGCTTCACTTGATAAACCTACATATTTGTCTTTATTTTTCTTAGCTTTTTTCCTCTCTTCTCTTAATTTATCATCATCCTGAATGAAATCAATTAATTCTCTGACTTTGTGCCTAATATTTATCCCTTGATCTTTTCCAAATTCATCAATACAAGTATAATTTTCTAAAGACCTAAGATCATAAATATGTTCTCTAGATGATGTGACCACTCGTTCTGATCCATTACGAACTAGATAATTCAACAACAGCAAAGACTAAAAACAAGAAAATACATATTATTATTTAAATAAAGATATTAGTAAAAATTTTATAAAAATAAAAAAATATAAATATTGATATCATTGAATATAAATATACTATTAATTTTTATTTTTTATTTTTGTTTAAATTTATAACGTAATTTTCACAAAAAATTTTACATAATTTAAATATCTTAAGAAAATTTTGTCATTAAAATATTTATTTATTTACTCAGTAACGTAAATTAAATATATATAGTAGCAAAAAAATTTACCTTGTACGTTCGACGCCAATTTCGTTTATTTTCTTGCAACATCCTTTTCCACAACATGGACATTACTTCAGGAAATTGCTCGTATGTGAATGTAGCTTGAGCCAGTTCTTGCATCATTGCTCCTAAAGTAATATATACAGTAAAATTAATTTCGCTATATGTCAACAAACGTTAAAAATCAGCATAAAATTATAATACATTTAAAAAACTTTTGTACAAGAAAATACGTAAAATAATGTATTATCAATATATTATGTTATAAATATATTATATTATATTATAAATATAATTTTTCATTATTTTGCTAGTTATTCGCTAATATATATATGTGCGTGCGCGTGCGTGTGCGCGTGCGTGTGCGTGTGCGTGTGTGTAATACATACATATACATTAGCGAATAACTAATAAAATAATTAATAATAAATAAAAATTAATATTATTTATTACATAATAAAATGCATAAATGATCAAATAGAGAAGTTTATAACATTTTTATTAAAAATATTTTAACTTTTGTAAAAGTGAAATTCCAATATATATAAATTAAATACTATAATAAATTAAAATTAATACGAATTATTAAGAGCGAAATTGAAATGATCAAAAATTAACTTTTTATTCAATTCTTAATAATTAAAAGTTATATAATATTATTATTAATAATTACAACATACAATTATAAAAAATTATACAGAAATAAAATTTAAAAAACCTATTTTTTTCATTTTAAAAATAATTATTTATGTATATTTTATAGAGCTCCTTGTGTGTAAAAATACTACACTACCAATAAAAATAAAACTGAATCAATAATTATTGTTTTACTTTTATAACCATTAAACCTTACTATCATAATTATAACTTATAATTAATAATTTAATTTGATCATTTACAAATATTCTGTGTGTTACTGTGCATCATAAAGTTCGCTGTAATTATAACTAAATTAAATTATTACCTTAGAACAGATATAAAACAGATATAATTTAAACATTTATACCTGTTGGACCCCAAGCATCATCATTTGTTGCCTCTCGAACTTTAGCTTCCGTTTCTGTGTAGTTCATAACTACATTGGTCCTGTGGAATTACGTTTTATTTTCATTAACATGTATAAACATACAATAATGGCATATATATTGATGTATTAATTTCCAAATAGATTGTATGAAATATTATATACATGACTATGAAATGAATATTATCATTTTTAAAGTAAAATTACTTTCACACTAGATAGTGTGAATACCTGTAATTGCGCAATATTTTTACGCCTCTGCTTGCACACAATACTTTTCTGTTTTCAATTTTCAATTGATTAATTGTACAGAATTCTGATATTATTATTATAATCAAAGATTGTTTTCATAAAATGCAGTTCATTATTGCAAGTGAAATTAATAAAGATAAAATTGATTATCAAATCAAGATGCACACACACATTTTTTACAAAATAATTTTTTACGCTATTGAAATGCACGATACATACATGTTTCAATATAATCTTTAATTTTTCAATCGTTATAGATGTACACAACTAGCATTAAAAATCTCATTTATCTACTTCTGAATTTTTTTCTGAATGAAAGACGATAATGCAGCTTAAATTTCTCGGATTCATTTTGAAATCAAAAGTACCATTGAAAGTCGATCTTATCACGGTTTTGTTGAATACATAGTACGTATGTGTATTAATTTAATATATTTTTTTGTTTCTATCGATTTATTCAACAGAAACAAAAGAACTAACACAAATGTTCGATTATGTAATAACTTTATTCAACTTTTAAGATATCTATATAGAATTATTCGAGACAAAAATTTAGATATAAAAATATAACATTTCACTTCATATGATAAAATGTGATATATTTATAAACGTATACAATTAACAAATGATAAAAGTGAAGGACACAAACGTAAAATAATAACTTGGAAACCACTATGACGACGAATAATTCATTTATTGTTATTAAACGTTTATAAAAGTATTTAACATAATAATCTGGCAAAAAATTAACAGGATAATCAACATATTTTTCTCTATAATAAATCTTTACCTCCTATAAATTTAATAATTAAACTCATATCAATATTTCTTGGTTAATAAGAAAAAAAATAAAAAATAAAAAACATGAATTGCCTAATATTTTAAAAATCATGAGTACATGTACATATGTCATTTAAATAACAATCATGCTTGGAATCAGACATCTTTGTATATATATAGTCATATACAGTTACAGTTTACATTTGTATTCAGAAAGAGTTGTTAGAGATAATAGTGTCCTTCCGCTTCTCGATTTTCATAGATCGTAAAAAAATCTCATATTTTCGATCATAATATCATAAGTTAGCCTGGAATCACCTCAAACAAATAATACATGTAAACGATAATAATGTATAGAAACTATTATCTAGCGTTGCAGGAAAAGCAACAAAAGCGAAGAATCAGAAGTATAACATAAAAACGAATAGATACCACTAAGTGTTTGAGAACCACTATATATTCGATTCGATGTAATAACGATAACTTACACTTCATAGTTACGCAGGAAAGAAAAAGAAAAAGAAATATAACATTTTAATAACGATGTAAATTTCCTATAAATATTTTACATACGCATTGAATACAACTCAATGAAAGCAAAACCCAATAATATGAAAATCATGTAGAATCTGACACTCTTTCGAATAGAACAAGGTAGAAAAATGATGAATTAATAAATAATTTATAAACTTGATGCCATGAAATTTTTTCTATCGATATTCAGTAACAGTTTTTATGTAATTCTATACAACAGATAATTATTAATGCGATGTGCCCCTACTGTTACGTAAAATGATTTTACGAACAAAATTATATAATTCTATTGCAATATATTATGATATAAATATATCATATTATAATAATATAATATAATTATATAATGTATTAATTTCCTTTTTTCAAATATGCAAAACTTTCTCAACGGGTAGTTTCACTTATCAAGCAGAATAACCTGCTCGTGAGATAAGAATAGCTTATCCTTTAATTCACTGTTGTAATAAAATATTGTCTTTTTTCTTGTACTTTTTTTATTAAGTAAAAAAAAGAAACAATTTTAATGACATTAAAGATTGACCCATTTAAAATATAAAAATATAAGAGTAAAAACCGAGAAAAAAATATTTAATTTGAATCATAATTGCAAACGATACATTCATATAAAACTATTTTTCGTTAACAAATAAAAATATGTATAGTAGACACGTTATGTAATGAAAGATATATCATTAATGCGCTTTATCGTAATATCTTTCCTAAAAGATTTTTTTTCTTTTCTTTCCTCAAAAGAAATTTATATTCAAAAATATATATAATGACAAAATATATAAACTGATAAATATCACAAAAAATGCAAAAAATAGTAATAACAATAAAAAAAAATATCAAATAAATATTAAATTACTCACTTATTGTGAATGAAACGAAAGAAAAACGTTTATTTTATCCTTTCATAGAGACGTACATTATTTTTTTGCCATTCTACATAATTTGTCATTGCGCAATTAAAGTTTACATCCTATTAAGTAAATAAATATGTTCTGCAATTTACGTGTGTGATACAACATATTTGTCTATTACGAAAATATTGTTAGGGAAAAAGAGTTCGGCAGAGAATCTTTTATTTACTTTCCATAAATACTCGAGAGAAGAAATGTTTAATAAATATGACGCATGTTCACGATGATAGACGAATGATGCGCTAAACAATGTAGTGACTATCAACAAACGTGGAATTGTAGATAAATGAAAAATCGTACAGCATATCGAAAGAAGTAGAGTGGAATGCGTTGAAAAAAGTAAAAGCAAGGTTAGATCGCATGTAACTGATTTAATTGTACTTACGCCTTGTCCATTAACTCTCGCACTTTCCACATGTTCATCATCGTACTTTATATTCCTCGTTGATTATAATACGGGTTTTTTCACGTGAAAACTTACACCGATAAATGTTTACCAGCTGTTTTTGGAAGCATTTGATATAGCGACGGCGACGACGAACGAACGTCACCAGGCGGTAGCCATGTTATCCCTTCCACGTTCCATTGAACTAACAATCGTCACAGGTGTTTTACGTTTGCCAACTTCATTTTTTGTTACCACGAGTCCTGTGTAATATTTTTAGTCTTCCTACAATATTATATGGCCATCGATAATCAAAGAAATCCTCGAATCATGAATCATTTGAACGATCAAAAAGAGCTAATCGGCTTTATCAGGCTATTTATATCTAATGGATCTAATATATGTTTACCTTGACAAATTATAGGACATCGATTAATGTTATTTGGCTAATTGTCGACTATAATTTGTTTAATGATTGTATCTAATTATTTAAAATAGGATTGTTATTCTTCATGCTCTGATGCGCTTGTATTTAAATATAAGATTTTTTTTGAACTATTGCCAACTGATTTAGAAACTGTCAATAATTAATTAACGATACAGATAATATTTACATATATGTAACAATTAATATGTCATTAAATTGAAAGAAATATAAAAACGAAATATTTAAATTAACATTTACTATCGCAAACATTTTGTAAAATGTTTAGAAATAAGTGTTTTCTTGACATAATGAATAAAAACTAAATATTGTAATTACATTGTTTTTCTGTTGACATTAAATTTTTAACATTTGTATATATTTATTTTATGCATAACCAAAAAAAGACTCAAACATTTGCAAATCTTATTAAGATATTACAAATGATATCTTTTTAATGCAATTTAAGAGAATATATTGAGATTTAATATAAATATAAATTAGTCAATTGAAAATAATAGCTTTCAAATATAAATATGTTATAAAACAATTTTTCGTTTCTATATTTGACGTTTAATCAAAATAATCTTTTTAATATTTTTAGAAATATCAAAATTTGAACACAAAATCATCTTTATTATGCAACATTAAATTTTGTTTATATCATTAATAAAAAATGCATTTAATTAAATTATTCATCTTTTATCATTGTTTATTTTTACAAAGTGAAATTTATTATATTTTATGTTTTGTGTATAACACCAGATGGTGCTAAAGAATAGATCTAGTTTTCTTACTACTTCCTTACTATAAGCATCTACAAGGTTATTACGACTTTGTGGTAAATATACTAGTTGGATTGGCTGGAAGAATACATAGAAGAATACGAATGAAGGAAGACATTATTGCGTTATGATTTATCTTTTATGTTGCAATTTTATTATTTTAATTACATTGTAGAAAATGATTTGTAAATGCGCGTGCCTGAACATGTCACTTGTAATAAAACAGGAGTCATTCAATCAAAATGAAAGTAACTGCCGTTAATGAAACGATAACGAGCATATGTATAAAATTTAAAGATGTCAGAACGTGTTTAAATTGTCGTTATCGCGGAATTGACAATGGAAGATTTTAACGATGGTGTGGATGGTAAATTGGCTTTTAGAATGCGAAAAGTCAATCCAGAGCAATTTCACACTCTCGTCAAAATGCATCTATCATTTGAATTAGACCTTAATACCGAAGAGTAAGATAATAATTAATGTTATTTCAAATTTGAATTTGAAAGTTGATTTTACAATTTGATTCATTATTTGCTGAAGTAAACTTTATAAATCTTAAAATTGTTAACAGCAATGATTGCATCAATGAAAAGACGAAGCTGAAAAAGTGGAGTCTTCTAAGTTTTTCAAAGAAACCTAAGTCAACAATTAATTTACAAAAAGGGATTGAGGGGGTTAGCTTATCCGAAGATGGGATAAATCAAGTGAAACAGTTAATAGAATACTTGTCTAAAGAACAAAGTAAGTAAAAATGTAACTATTATACAAACTTGCATTATTTGAAAAATATTTAATTGATATTTTTATGTCCAAAAAATTTGCAGGCATTATACAAGAAGGAATATTTCGACGTACTGGTAAATTAACAAGACAACAAGATTTAAAAAATGCATTGTATCAAGGCATTCCATTGAATCTTAATGATGGCCGATATAGTGTACACGATTGTGCATCAGTATTAAAAGGATTTTTGGCAGATTTACAAGAACCATTGTTATCAGATTTGCATTACCCTACACATTGTCAAATTGCTGGTAAAAAAAGTTAACTAAGTTATATTTAATTTCTTTATTATTATTTTTTTTATTTGAAAGTGTATTTTTTATTAATTATAGAGTTATGTAGTTCTGATGTAAATGGAAATGATGCAAGATTATTAAGATCTCTGCAATTGATTTTATTACTTCTACCATCCATAAACAGAGTTTTACTTAAGTGTGTTTTGAATCTTTTAAATAAGACAGCTAGTTTTGAATCTAATAATAAAATGAATTGTGATACCCTTGCTACACTTTTTACACCTCACTTAATGTGCCCAAGAAAACTTTCACCAGAAGCTCTACATATCAATTCTCAAAATTTATCATGTTTAGTTGCTTTTATGATTAAAAAAGAAAAAGAACTATTTGAAATTCCACCAAAATTAGCTACAGATATCAGAGCATATTGGGTGGAACAAGAAAGAAAATTACTGAGTCCTAAAAATGTAGATGTAAGTTTTTCTTTTTTTTTCAAAACTGTTAAATGTTAATAACTATTAATTTAAGTATTTATTTATTGCAGTTAAATGAATCTATACCAGATACAACAGGTACAGCACACACGGTATTCAGTTTTGTAGATCATAAATTAACAGCAAAGGCAAATTCTACGCAAGATACTCAGGCAGCATTAGCACAACTTTATGCTCATATACAAGCTATGCCAGAATCAGCTAAAAAACGCAGACTTGTAAAACAATTTAATAAAGAAAATGGTCAAGGCACACCTAGACAAGTTAAGCATTTTCGAACTAAAAGTCTTGGAGATTCAATTAAAAAGCACATATTCCAGAAAAAGATTTTGGGACACAAAAAATTTGATATTAATATAGGTTGCAATATCACTAGATCAAGTAGTGAAGAAAATATATTATCATCGGTAAGATATATGCAATATATTTTCTATAGTTAATATTTTTCAAGTTCATAACAGCATGTTAATTCTATAACATGTAATTACAATATTTATAATAGCAGTCTATAATTAATATATTTTATTTGCATGTTTTTAATTACACAGAATCTAGAAAAATCATTACTTCAAACAAAAGTATTACTTAGCAAATCAGACGATGAGCTTAGCATAGAAAACTATGATACAAATAATGATAGTCTTCTTCATACTAAACATATTAGTAATAGTACTGGTAGTCTTAATACTCCTAAATTAAGAAGTTATAGAGATAAGAGAAAGGCTATATTGATGAAATTTGTAAATATAAAAGAAGAACAAATGGACGACGTATATCATGATTGGGATATAAATAAATCAGATAAAGGATCATATATAGATGAATCTATAAATTCGATGTCAAGTAATGCAAACATATCTCTGCAAGATTTTAATAATGAAGAATTAGCAAGAGATAATAATATTGCAATTAATACTGTTAGATTATCTAGACAATTCAGTGAACCACCACATATATATTCTTCTCAAACTACTTTGAATGAAATCAGCCAAAATGAATTATTTAAACAAAGTTCAGAACCTAAAATTTCAGTATCAGGAGCAATTGGAGAGAATGCATCTATAATTAAGTGTAGCAATGACAACAAGAAAACGGTGGAATATTCAAAAGTGGGATCATACACTGAAGATGCATGTGTTCATATATCTCCTATTGTAAAAAATAGATTTTGGAATGTATATGTTACCCATACATCAACGCCATCAAATTTATTACGCAAAAGCTTAGTTACTAATGATTATGTGTTAACTCCTATTACTAACAATGATAAAAGCATGAGTCCAATTACACAAAGCACTACTAAAATGACAAAAGCTATGCAGGTATGCATTTATTATGTTATGTTATTTCTAACATTATTATTTTGTTTTTTATAATTGTTTATAAATTGTTTATATTTAGATATATATTTTTTATATTATTTATATTTACATATAAATTTGTAGTAATTTCATAATATTTTACATTTATTACAGGAAACTATGATGACACCACGATCTAGAAAACCAGTAATGATGGTTTCTGGATCAAATCTATGTACTCTCGCTTCTGTTAATGATAATTGGAATCAACAAAGTATATCTAATGATATACGTGAATCAAATTTTGATATTATTGGTCCAATGAATTGTACTTCAATTCCTGAAGAACCTCAAAAACCTAATAGCACAAACAGCGAAATTTTATATAATGAAATTATTGATTTCGAGGACAAAGAAAATTTAGACAAAAATGCAATGGAAAAAGGAATATTCGTTACATCACTTGCAGATGACTGTTATGTAATTAAACAACAAAGTACCATGTCTATAACAAGCACATTTAGAGAATATTTATTGTCAAGAAGTGTATTAACTGCTAGTCCCGTTGATCTCAGTTTTTCGTCGCGTACTGGAGATTTCGAACAATCAGAATCCGATTTAAACATCTTAAATGAGAATGGCCTTTCTGAAAGCTTACTTTGTTGTTTAAATGGAAATCAACCAGAATCTGATACTTCTGGTATTGCATCTGGTAGTACTAATAGTGTGAATTCGTTGGAAAAGAATGAAGAAGTAACGAGTTCACCAAGAAAACGGGCAACTAGTTTACAGCGTAATGATTCTAAAAAATCAATAAAAGAATCTAGAACATTAAGTAATATACGAGGACAAGGTTTCAAGAATAAACAATTAAGCGAATCAACATTAAATTCTGCGAAAATAAAAGACACATTTCAAGAAACTTCATTTTAACATATTTATAATTTGCAAAAACCGACATGTTTAAATATATTGTAGTTTAATAACACATTAACTTCTTTATTTTTGTGTAAACTTTTTCTCTTTAATAATACTTTTACTTTGAAATAATATAAAAACCTATTATATCAATAGGTTTTTGTTAATGGTATAAAACAAAATTCCGAAATTTAGTTTTATTATCTAACTTTTTATTTTAAAACTTTCATTACTTCTGTATTTTTATAATAAAAAAATTGGTACATTAATATATGATACCTTTAAATTAATAATATTTATATGGTGGACAATTTTGTATTAAAGGATAATTCATTTAATTTATATGCTGTCCTAAAGTTTATACATTATATATTTTGTTAAATTATTCATACATATATGAATAAACTTTGTGTATAAAAAAAACAAATGAAAGTTTTTATACATTTACATTTACTATAGATATATTTCAAAATAATGATTAATAATTCATGTTTGAAAAATATATAAAATTATACTTTACTATATTATTATATATTATATTTCTCTTATTATATTTTTATATATTAAATATATTAATATATAATATATATTTAATATACAGTCTATATGATTAGTTTTATTATTATATCTAATTATCATACTTCAATTATTATACATATCTTTAGATGGAGTAACGGAAAATTATGTATCACTGATTCAACAGTGATATTAATCTGTTTGAAAAAATTGCTTAAAATTGGATTTCAACTTGAAATTCGAAATCAAACTTTTTAGAGTTAAAAAAAACTTATTAAGAAAATCATCTAAAACTATATACACAATCAAATAGTACATGAAATATTGCAGTTAATCTTAAAATAACTATACGATCTTAGATTAGTTTCCAATTGTTTATTTTAAAATTGTTTATCTAATTGCTTTCTATGTGGCAAAATATTTTAAATGGTGTCGAAGAACACATGATTTGGTGACACCATTATTAAAAGGTAAAGTACGATTCCGTTTCGAAAAAAAAAATTAAAGAAAGAAAATTCTTTTAAATTGAAGAAAAGAAATTAATACTAGTAATATCAGATTATATTCTTTTTGATATGTAGCATTCTTTCAGAAGTTTTGTTTCATTGTTAATAGCATGCTATTTATTTTCTATCTGATTATGAAATTTGTGAATTTTATATTGTAAATCAATTTATATGGTGAATAATATCAGTTTAAGAACTAATAGAATTAATACATACGTTGATTGTGATTTAACGAAATTGAAGCTTTTCATAAAATAAGAGCGGTAACACTCGCAGTTACATCTTAAAATCATTTTTCAAGAGAAAAATGGTTCATTTGCGACTCACGGTTTTGAAGTTTTTTATACAAAAACAGAATTGAGCTTGACATCGACATACATTGAATTTCAAGAAAAGGTAAATTTTGCGGCAACTTTTTTTTTTAACAAATCATTAATCCAGAAATATGGATTACTCTGATATATAATTTTCTGACATCTTGTACAGTACAATTTCCTTAAGACTTGTAGTTATTTACATGTGAATTTCATCAATTTTTATAATTTTTAAAGTTAGTACACTAACATAATAAATATTAATTTATTTTGGTAAAATAATCTTTTATAAATAATAAAAAGAAGAATACAATAACTTAGAAATCATTTTATTAATACATTTATATATTTAACACATTTTTTGATATACAAAAGTACAATATAATATATATCGTACAGATTTAAATTCATTTCATGTCATTAATACTCAAACAATAATATATTTAATATGTAGAAACAAATATAAAAGAAAACTTAATTGCCAAAAAATTATAAAATAATACATTTTTTATTGAATATTATCTACTATTTAAATTAAGTTTTATACACAGAAGTAGTAATAGTACAATTGCATTAGAGATGATTCTACATGAAAATATAAATAAAAAATATGGTACAAAACTTTTTCGTCCGAGATCTCGTTTTTGAAAAAATTGAGTTTGAAAAGTCATAAGAATCAGAACAAGTTGTTCAATCCAAATGTTGAAAATGTTATGTAATGAAAATAAAGAGATTGTGCAGTACCGTGATAAATTAAAAAGCATTGAACCAAGTTACGTTTGCAGCAAGAGGATGACATTTCCAATAGTACTTGTAATACAATAAAAAAATGAGTAATTTGCAAAAATCAATTGTGTTTTTAATTTTAATTATAGCTTCTGTTCAATTTTCAATAGACAGAAAGAACCAAGGACAGAATAGTACGATAGTAAATTTTACTGTCATATAAATACAGATTTTCTCAAAAATAAAGCTTCAGATAAAAAAATATACCAAATTTTTTGTTTATTTTTTCAGGTCACCACTATTCTAGTTGTACTACTCACGACCCATTCTGTACACTAAATTTTCTAAATAAAATTGTTGTATCATGAAATGGATTTATACACTTTTATCAAAATATATTTTGTAAATTTATTAAACATGTAATATATAAATAATATTTTACACATGATTTCATCAAATCAAATCTCTTTTTCTACTGTGTGTGTATTCGTCTTTATTTTTAGTTTGAAATACAAGAAAATTATTGAAACAAGAATTCTTTATACAAAACAAGATATATAAAACTGATTGTAGAAAAATATACAATTGCTAGAAATCTGTAAATGTAATATATATGTATATATTATATGTATATAATATGTATTATATGTAATATATATTACGTACTACAGTTGGTAAAATACTATGTATCAGTTATAATAGATTTCTATTTAAATATAATTTGTATACAATAGAAATTTGAAGATCTTTAAAGTATGATACAATTATAATGCATACATTTTCCACATTAAATACCAGATTAATGTAATAAAACTAAAACTATGTAAATTCTCATATTATTGACATCTCACTATTATCTCATAGTTTTATAAAGAAATTACAGAATATAAGTAATAATTAATTATTATTCCTATCTTTGCAATTAGATATACTCACATTTCACAAGTTGTCATTATTATCAAAAAGAAAATGATGTGTAACATGTATCATATACTTCAGAATTATGTGAAGATGTAGATGACAATGTATTAGTAGTCAAGGATGTAGATATAGGTCAGAACATATCATCATGACCCATATCTGGTATGTATGATAAACCTCGTTCTTTCAAAGTTTTATTTATTAATCGTTTCTGATCTTGTTTTAATTCTTGTTCTCGCCTTTGTGCATCTAAGATATCATCAACAGATACTTCAGTCAATGGTAAATCTCTTTCTTTATCTCTGTCCTATAATAGAAAATTGTTTGAGAAAACTAATACACATAATAAATTAAATAAAAATATTTAAATAACATAATTTTTGTCACAAAGATATTACAATTTCTCCCAAAAGAACAACATTTTCTCCTCTGACAATAAAAATGCCTCTTGGGATGTCTCCATATTCTTTGCCAACATGAATTCTTTCAATTGTACGATGAAGCACAATATTAGCAAATTGATCAACACTTCTAAGATATCCAATTAAAGTTCTGCCATCTCTTAGTAAAACCATAAGTTTTTCTAAACCAGAATTATATATAATATATCATAATAATGAAAATAACTTTTACCGAAATAAAAAGTAAAATAAACAAATTTTATCAAAATTTTAATTATTTACATGAGTTTAAAAAAAATAATAAATATCATACGTTTAAATAAAATTTTCAATGATAAGGAAAACATTATATTGTATAATAAAATGTGCATACTTTTATATATATAATGTTTATAAAAATTATTCAAAATTAATTAATTATTAAAAATGTGATGACACGCTAATATAACCTAACGAAATACAATTATAAATACGTACTGTCAAGTTCTTCTAGGAGAGACGCCGTTCCTGGCAAAATATTCATTTTGCAATTTCTTCTATTTTCAACGTAAATAATTCTCAAACTAAAACAAAAATCTTATACGCCAACTTAACCTGTAGTAAAATGTAAAACTAAAATCATTTCGCTTATTCGTCGACAATCGTTTGGATTATTTTAACTTGTTTTTTTTTTAACTAATAACTGTTATTATCGAATTAGTAATATCGGATTTATTTAATTACAAAATTTATTTAATTAGAAGACTAAAATAACGTAATTGTAATCATTACTTTCATATTTATTTAAAAAATCTACACAAGTCGATATACACACATATTTTGGAGATTTTATTACATGTATACATATATGTAATGTAGTCGTAATGAGGTAAAATGTGTTGTTAATTTGAACTATTTGAACTAAAGAAACAATATATCATGTTTAACAATATTATAATATTATTAACCTTCTACAATGGCTACATTGTACATAAATAAATGATTGTAATATAAGAAAAATCAAAAGAATATAAAATAATTGTATAGTTTTACTGTAAATATGATAATAGTTAATCTACATTTTTTAAATAAAATTTGTTTATTATGTAAAGTTTATTTAAAATAAGATCCGTAAAAGATAGTGTTAAACTACACATACATATATAAATGTAATTTAAACGAAATTTTGTAATTACGAAATTTGTATTTTTTAAACTACATTTTATATACTCTTTAAAATTAATATATATTATTTATATATAAATTTAATATATATGTTTGTAATAATTTTAATATTTAACTTCATTTAATAATTTTATTTATGATGTTACAAATAATGAAATTCAAATTTTCTAAAATTATTATACATAAAATGAATAAAAAACTAATTAAAAAAAGTACATTTATAAATTTAAATATAATGCTTTTATACATTATGTGTTTAATAATTTTAATTATATATGTTTAATTATTATGATTTGAATAATAATTAACCAGCTAACCGGGAACAAAAAAGAGTAAACTCGTCATCCAGTTTAATAGTGTGCTGGATGTTTTTTTTATTTTGGGATCTCTTATTTTTTTACATATCGTCAGGATAAATTATGTTTCACATTTAAAAAGACTAAAATTGACTTTATTGATTTGTTTTCATTAAATTTGCAGAAACTTTTAGTAAAGAAACTATTTGATTAATAAGTTAATATGATTTAATATAATGACTGATTTTAATATACATTTCCAAATTTTATAATTAATATTAACAATCATGTAAGTATATACTTTGGATTGTAGACTTGTATTGAAAAAATTATCGTTTGATACTTTATAATTTAGATTAATAATATTTTAGTCACTTTAATATTGTTTAATAAATAGTAATAACAATGTAATACGTATAATTTCTAGAATTACTGGGTACCGATATATCTATATAGATCTACATAACCTTAGAAATGAAGAAATTTTTTAAAGGAAGATTTGTTCAGCAGTTTTTACCATTTATAATACTCATTACAGGAGGTTCATTTGTTATTCGGGAATTTGTAGGCCTAAAGTATGTACTTCAATGTTGCATTAAAGTTAAAACTTATTAATTTAATTATTTTTATCTTTTCAGATATAAATATCCAAAAGTTACGTCACACGATTTAGATGTAGAAATTAAGAAAAAAGGTATTGAAATGAAAAAGCCTCGTACTCTCGAAGAGGAATATGAGATAATAAAAGTAAGTAAACTTCGATTAAAGGACATTAAATATATGAAAAATATTATTTTTTCCATGATGAGAAAATTGAATTATTTCAACCTAAAATTGTGTCACAAATTCTTTTTATTAATGTTTGAAGTTGACTGCATAAGTTGCTACTTCATTCGGCTCTAATCTATATTCTTATACATTCGCTTCGAGTACAATGTTGTACGTTTAAAATGGGGTTCGAATGGATTTAATTACTACCGTCTAAATATTAATGTTATCGTTTGAACTGAAATCCACATTCCTAAATATTAATTTTTATCAATCATCTTTAGGAAAAATATAAAATTTGAACTATTCTTTTAACAAATAATATTTATTAATAAACTATATCATAATATTTAAGAAATTTATAATTTTTATCAAATTATAGATTTATAATTTTTGTCAATTATACATATACAATTGTATGTTTGTTAAAATTAGAAACAAGAGCATGCTATTTTATATGTTTACAAACGAAAAATGTAAATAAAGTTAATATTTATATTGATAAATACTTATATATAAAGCACATGCGTGTTAGATCTCTAGAAACAATTGAATAAAATTATATTGTAAAAATTTAGTAAATTATGCGTGTTAAATCTCTAGAAACAATTGAATGGAATTATATTGTAAAAATTTAGTAACTTATAAGAAAATTAGTAACTTGTAAGAAAAATATTACTGTTATTAAAAAAATATTATGGTTGTATTAACATATTAAATAATCATAAAAAATGTGCTTTATACATATATTTACAAGTTTGCTCGATATAGTCATAATAATATTTAACTTCATGTTTATAGACTTTGGATATTGATAATTGGGAAAATATTCGTATATCACGACCATGGGACGAATCAAATGTAAATAATTGAGATTTTACTTAGAAGAAATTTTCACTTTAAGAAGAAAAAGAACATATGTACATGTCTATATGTATATAGTATTTATAAAAAATTATCGTAGGGTACTATAGTTATAATAAAGACTGCATTAAAATCTTTTGAATTTCCTTCATACATATGTCTTTGTAATAATAAATAATTCATAAATTGTTATTACAGAAAGTTGTAGCATAGTATATATGATTTACATCAGTAATTATCCTGTGTTACAGATTGTAATTCTATAAATAAATAGTATAATTAATTAAATTAAGAAAAATTTCAAAAGTTTTAGCATGTTAAACTTACTTTTTTTTTCAAATCCATAAGTACTTAATAAACTTTGTTGTCTTTGTACTGAATACAACTGTTGGCTTCGACGTGTACTATTTGTAGACTAAAAAAACATATGTGTATATATGTATTTATATTAAAAATAAATTAATTAAAACAACTACTAAAATATTCTTGATTATATTTTAAAATTATTTTTTTCAACTTTAATAAATGATATCTGATATTATGCAAATTATCACTTATAAAATAATAATACTTACCATACGAGAATTTGAAGAATTTTTATTTTTATTTTTTTTTGTTCTATTACTTGACTGTACAAGTACTTTTGTATCAGACCATAATCTACTATTTGAAATATTTATATCTCCTTGTTGAACTAAGAAGTCGGAATCTATGTTAAATTCTAATGATGTTAATGAAGTATTTATATTGTTTAATTCATTTGTATTATTATTTTTTATATTTCCATCCATTGAAATATCTAAATGTTCTAATTGTGATTTTCCTGAATCACAATTAGAAGTGTTTGAAGTTTCAACATTTTTGCATTCATTTAATATAAATAAAGTATTATGTTCTTTATCAATATCGATACAACATGAATCCTTTTTCAGTTCATTACTTTCCATTAAAAATTGTAAATCAATATTGCTTGCATTATTTTTATCTGTTTTCATTTCTTTTTTTTCTACTAAAACTTCATTTGAATTCATAACTGAACATATTTTATTATCATTTATTGAAATATTATTTCTTTGACTAATATCCTTAGCAAAAAATTTACTCTCTGTGACAGTTCCTTCATTTATAATTGTTCGCCTAATATGCATTACATTTCTTCCCTTCATTCTACTTTTACTTGTACACAAAAGACTTGGGGAAGTTTTGGTAGTAGATGAGTATTTTGAAAATTGATTTTTTTTTCTAATTAAAACAGGAGATACCTCATCTTCACTAGGAGTAAGATTATTTATATCTGAGTCATTTTCAACATCCATTGTATTTGTAGATTTATATATATCTAATATTTCTTTTTGATTTAATTGTTCATATTCTATAATAATATTTATGCAATTTATATATATACTTAATATACATTTAATTATTATTATTAATAAATATATACTTAAATTATTTAGATATAATAGTTATTATTATATTATCATTTATAATAATATTGTAAAATAAAATAAATTTCATACCTGAATTATCTTGTTGTCTCATAAAAATACATTTTTTTAAACGATTTGTTTGAAGAACTGCTTTTGACTTAACAGTACACCAATCCATGAGATCCTTTTTTTGAGAAGATCTTTGCAAATGATTTTGCATTAATTTATATTCTTTCGACCAAATACTAATATGTCGAGAAAGTCCTGTTTTTTGTGCCCATGTATTGCATTTATTAACTTCATTCTATAAAATTCCACATTTGATAATATTCAATGTTTAATATCTATTATGTGTACTTACGTATTTAATATCTACTTCGTATTAAAAAAAATTAAGTTTTTTGAAATAATATTTTATTAATATTCTTATATCTTTAAACAATATTTACCCTTATTTGATCAGGATCAAAATTATGAAGCATTTTTAGAGTAAAAGGATCACAGTTTCCAAGTGCAAGCTGTAATGCTGTGTCTGGATCTATTTCTGTACCAGCATAATATAATTGTTCTTTTGTTATATCAGCTGTAGGTGAATTTAAACGAATTTGTTTTCTTGTTAAAGGACAAAATATTAACTGATACTTAAAAGTAATAACTGCCAATATAAATGAATCTCTATATTCTTTTGTAACAACTAAAGATTTCATATTTAGATAAGATCCTAGTCGAGTTAAAGCCTATGAAAATAGATACATATTTACATCTAAATGTTTCAAAAAAATAATTTATAAAAACATATGCAAAAATATTTACTCTATGTATATCACAGTCTGTATTTATTTTTACAAATTTTCGTGCTTTATTCAATCCAATACCAGGAAGAGATGGTAAGTAATCACAGCCTGATAAAATACACATATAGAGAAAATCATCCATACTAAAATGTTCAGAAGGTATTCCCATTGCAAGATGCAACTGTTGTTGATCAACTAAAAGTCCATTACCATTTAAATCCATTTTAAACAATACCTGCAAAATAAAATATATGAAATAAATATTTTGGAAATTTAGAGTATTATGTAAAATTATTTGTATATTTATAATTATATTTGAATCAATGGTAAATATGTAAAAACAGTTCTATAAAATTTTTAAAAATACTAAAATTATATAGGAAAATATTATATAAGAAACCTTTTTACAACCAAATAGTGTTAAATCACTATCTTCAGTAATAACAACATCAGCAATTCCACTGATATTAAGATATGCTAACTGTGCATCTGCTTCATATGGTGCTACAATACAATCAACATTTAGTTTTTGACATTGTTTAATTAACTCTAGAGCCATTTCATGTGTAACATCTATAGATCTTCTTAATAAATTTCTTGCCTCTGCATGTTGTCCCATTCGCATTAGCTCAATACTTTTACGGTGATTCATCTGTCTTGATCTATAAATACATAAATACATTATATTTAATAAACAAATTGGATTTATCTGAAAATGTATAAATATCTCATGAAATAAAAACTATTTGAAATGATTGTTGTAGGATATTATTTTTTAATCCAATAATAACTTTTAAAATCTTTGTGAAAAAATACATATGTATATATATACATATTCTTATAACTGATTGTGGAACATTTCCAAAATACTGTTTGTATGTATATTTTGCACAAGCCAATTTTAAGACATAAATGTTCAAAGTTAATGTGCTACTATCAACATTATTTAATGTACGTCGTGAAAAAGTTGCATAATTAGACTTTGTACATCATAATTATTGAAAATGTTCAATAGGATCAAAAAAAAAAAAAAAAACAAAATATAAAAAAATATTGTTTCAGATAATATAAATTGAATTTTTTGAAAAGATAAAAAATTGTTTAGTGATCAATGATAATAAAAAATATAGCATTTAAAAACAATGATTAAATATTATTTTTGTAATTTTTCGCTCTTAACTTTCAAAATCCTGTGGTTTTTATGTTCTTTTAATACAGTTATTGTTTTAAGATATTACTTTCAAAATATATGTACAACATGTGTTTAATATTTTTTCTTAACATTTTTAAAACATCTTTCATACTTTTAGCTATATTTTATCAAATTAATTATTAATTCAAATCAATTCGACTTTTTAATATATTCAATTGCGATTTTGAATTATTAAGTACTTTAAAAATTATCTTAATTTTATAGAATATTTGAGCTAATGTTTCTTTTTCAAAGAAAGCTGAATTATACATACTCTCGTCGTTTCAGTTCAGTTTGTGCCTTGGCAGGCAAATGTCTTCCATCAAATACAAGTATTGGTTTTATTTTATGAGACAGTAACATATTTATGAACTTCATACAATAACGAACGTATCTGAAATAAAATAACGATTAAACAATGATTTGTGTCGATAAACAATGTAGTTAAACAACATGAATTTCTTACGCATCTGTTGGTTGTCCCATTGACAATTTTTCAGCACAAGAGAACACACCTTTATGCAACCAACAATAAGAATCGATAGCAACGGTACCATTGGAAAATTGACTAACATTCGTTCTTTTCGAGGCTTTTTCTAAAAATGGAAGTAAACCAGTGATGCCCATCTTTCACTTTAAATGCAATAACAATCAACAGTCACATGGAATTGATAAGTTCACTAATGTTACCGTTAGGTATTCGCATTGCCGCCAAAGCAAAATCGATGACTACAATGATATTAGATACGTAACTCACCAATTGGACATACAAGATATCTTGCGATTCGTGGTCAATCGATTGGAAGGTAATTTTACATATAAAAATGTATCCGAAAAAAGAATAGAATTTTTCCATTAAAGTCTAAAATTTAACAAATGTACTTGAATTTGATTCCGAAAATTAACTAATACTGGACAGATGGGAATAATCGACATGAGGATACGCGCAAAAATAAATAAAATAATATAGAATAAAACTTTTTCGCTTAAGGTGCTCTTTTTTCAATAAACTTTGAATATGTTTTGTTAAAAATTACCTTGAATACACGTGTATTTAATAATTTTTCAAACTTTTTATTTTCTTCAAAACATAGAGCATATTATAGGAAAATTTTATTTTACATTTTTTATTTATTTTCACATGTAGAATAACTTCAAATCATTTATGGATTCCTTTCTGTCTAGAATTAGTTAAATTCAAATATACTCGATAAATTTTTAAACTCGAAACTTTTAATGAAAAAATTTTATTCTTTTTTTTCGACGCATTTTTACATGTAGAATTCCAATCGGCTGATCGCGAATTGAGAGACACCCTGTATATCTTTCGCAAAGAAAATAGGAATACATTTAATTTTGCTTTTTATAAAGTGAAAAGCAAAAAGATATAATCAAATACAAAAATTAAATTTGGAGTGTATTTTATGCGTAATATAAAAAGTAATTTATGGTAACGCAAAAGTAATTTATCCTTATTTTTAGTAAAATTTATTAATTTTAAAATTTAATTTTGAATTTTATATTCTTTAATATTATTTTAATAATCAAACCTATATTGCTCTAATTCTTAAAAATATGAAATACATTTTTGAAAATGAAGTAATATTTTTGAATCTCAAACAAATATTTCATATTACATGCATTTATTTCTACGTAGTGATTTTGAATTACATATATTGTGAAATTTAAATCACACTGTTATTTTATGATAATATTATATATCTTACAATAATTTATAAAACGTTAAATAAATAATTTATATGAACTGATTTTAAAAGTAAAAGCTTTATTAATAAATTCAATAATATTTATTCACTTTTAAAACGTACTTATCATAAAATAAATAATAAATTATATAATTATTAATATTTTCTTATTATTATATTACCCAAATTCATTAAATAAGTGGTAAATAATAACTTATAAATACATTTATGTTTATAAATATGTATATATCAATACGATACATTGCCATCTATCATTCGTTATTGTATTTAATATATTTAAATCGCTTCTTCTTTTTTTTAATAATATGACGTTTTTGAAACTTTTGAAACTGTCAAATTAAATTTAACAGTTAAAAGAAGGAACAATATGTATATTCACGTATACATATATATATGATAAATAAAGATATATATATATATATATGCACGTAATTTGTATAATTAGCTCTATGATGGAACTCGATTTAGTGTAACGAACATTATTTATTGTAACAAAATTATATTTAATGCTCGATTAAATGAACTCCAGCCCATTTGAATGCGAATTCTATTGTATGAGCGAAAAGTTGTGGTGGGGGGAAACAGTGAACTCTTATTATATGAACTGCAGTTGTATGAACTATTTGTCCGATGGGTTCAGATAAATGAAGTTTCACCGTGTAATTTAATGGTAGGTTATAATCATTTTCATAATTTAGACGTTTAATTTTCTATTCAGAATAAAAAGTTCCATTATTTTCAAAATTTCAGTTCCTTGTTTTGATTAGGACTACTTTTTCATTTATACGCCGTTATTGTCTTGTTGCGAGTACAATTGATCTCGCTACATATTTATTATGCAATTTGAAAGTAACGGAAGCTTAATATTACATTTGTTAATGATTTATTCCTTGTGTGAATCGTTAATATGTGTACAAGTTTATATGTCTAATTTGTCGTACACATTACAAGCTATTAATCTCAAACACGTTTTAGGTTATATACATATTTATAATATTCGATTAAATACATTTTAATCATTTAAAATGTTTTCTCATTTCTCTAGTATTAACGAATTTCAATCGAAATTAATTTAAATTGATTTAAATTATCTAATTTAATACTTCAAATAATATTTTATTATAATTTTTTTACAATATTATCAATTATTATTCATTAGCTTTTAAGTTTGTAGTATTCTCTGGTATTCTGTAGTATTAGTTCACAATAATGAAGTATTACTTTTAATATTATGAATATAGCATAGTTTTGAAAATCTAAATCGAAAATTTATTTTGACAAGTTTAATAAAACCATATTTTGACATGTATTATCTCATTTATATTTTAAAATATTTTATAATACAAACTATTGAATCATTTTTCATAATAAAAGAATGTGATTTTCATTAATAAAAGGATGATTAAATTAATAATATTAATTTGGAAGTATTTATAAATTTATTTTATTTTTCTTTTATTTACTAACTACACAGAAGATAATATAATTTTATTTAGCAATCAAAATATTATCTTAAGGATTTAAGATTGTTCAAAATTGTTTAAAAGTTATTAAGTTTAATTTGACTAAATAATATTCATTATATCAATTAATAAAGTGATATATTTTCAAATATTACTATATGATTTTTAAAATGCGTATAAGATCTGAATTATATTACTACTTATTTTTTTTAGATCTTAAAGATTTTAATTAATATTTATATTAATATTATATTTAATATAATTCTAGATCTATTATACCATATAACATATATATATAAAAAAAAAGAAATTTCAATATGCCATGGATGAACACAACAATGATCCTTATGAACAACAGCTTTATGCTGTGTTTCAAAGTTGTTTAACAAAAGGAGAAACTGAACTACACGAGGATAATTGGGCCAATTTGTGTCATAAGTTACATCTGACGGAGCAAAGTGAAGAACTAAGATCATGCATACAACAATATAAACAAGAAAAACAATCCATATCATTCCAGGAATTTAGAGCTGCTTTATTAACTTTGTTAGACAAAACTCAAGATTCAATTACAGAGGCAGAAAAAGATAATATAATAGAATCACAAAATGATACAAATCCACATATTATAGATAATAAAAAATGTAATTCTTTAATACCTAATAATTCTAGTTCTAATGTTGATTTTTTAAATAGAAAAACAGGTAATATTATTTGTTATCTATTCCTGTATTTTTCACATTTTAAGAGATGTATCTTTACTTAAAAATACATGTTACTAATTTTTAGGTGTGGCATTGGATGAAAATAGATTGAAATGTTTATGGGAAAAAATAAATACCTGCTTAAAAGAAAATGTAGACTCTGCAACAATTTTTTTTATATCTAACTGTTTAGGAATTCCAGCTCTTCCGAAACAAGTAATTGCATGATACTATTTATTACCTGTTAGTGGATTGAAATATCAATTAAAGGGATAGGGATAGGATTTGAAATATCTATTAAAAGGGTAGGGGTAGGATTTAAAATATTTATTAAAAGGATATGCGTACTTATTCACATATGTATTTATACTATCTGTTTTTTTTTATTTTGTCTACCTTAATATTTATTTATTATATATTTATTATTATTCAATTTAGAATGATAAATATTATAATTTATGATTTTTTTCTCAAGATAATTTAGTCAGATAGAGATAATTTAAGATTTAGTCAAATAGTAGATAATTTTCAAATGTCAGATACATTTTTCTAAATAGGATTAGGTATTTTTCTGTTCGAGTTAGCATACTATTTTATTCTTTGTAAAAAAGTATTAAGGTAATTGTATTTAAAAATGATTAGTTTGAAGAACAAGAAAAATGTAGAATGTAGAAATGTAGAAATACTGTTTTCCATTTTTCTTTATTTGTTACAAATAAGTTTTACAAAATTAAAATGTTTTTCAAACTAACCATTTTTATACGTAATTATTTCTCTTTTTTTTTGAAAGAATTAAAAAGCACACTGATTAATGCAAAATATATACTTCCCCCGTAATAAAATATCAATAATCTTAAAAACTCGAAAAAATAATCTTAAGAGAAAAATTATGAATCAAATAGAACAAATTATTTGTTACTCTGAGTTAAATGACTTTATCTTTTTTTTTTTTGCCTTGTATTGATAAAGATATTAAAGTGAATAAGATAAATAAAACATTGTATACATGTAACATATAAAAATATCTAGTACTTACTTTTATAATAAATAGTTAATTAAAATATATTAATTATCTATTATAATTAAAATTTTTACATTGATTTCTCTAAGTAACATATAAACCAATCTTGGAAAACTTACATGTAAAGTATTATTTTGCATAGATCTCACAGTGTATTTTTGAGAAACTTGATCAGAATTGTGATGGATTAATTAGCTTGGATGAATTTCTTGTTATATTTCAAAATAAGGCAATGGAAGATGAATTAACGTTAGAGAAGAATAATCAATCTACAAATGAATTAACTAAATTAGACTTTAGAAAACGAAACTTCGACATTCATCCTTCTCGCAAGACTAGGTACTATATTGTTAACTGTAATATTACTGTTATGATTTTTTTTATTACAATTTTATTATTTTGCGTAATTTTTATTTAATATTTTATTCCTATTTCTAATAGTTTTACAAGGAATAATGCTTTTCTGGATACATGGAAACTTTCAAATACAGATGGGAATTTTAAAACATCTGAAATTTCTTTAACTGATTTAACAACTACTTTATGTGATGAATTAAAAAATTTTAATGACTCATTAGGTCATTCTGCAATTCGATCTCATATAATGTTATTGCGAGATGTTCTTATACTATATCAAGAAGAATTACATAATTTAAAGTAAGTATTAAAATCTATATAAATAAATTAATAACAATTAAATTAATTAATAATTTAAAGTAAGTACTACAATAAAAGAAATTTAATTAATTAATTAAATATTCTTATATTTTTAGTCTTGCAATAGAAAATGTAAATGGTGAAAAAGAAAAGTTACGTACTGATATTATAGAAGCTAATGAACGTGCAAACACTCTTGCTCAAGAGATTGACGAACAACATGTCCGACAAGAAGAAATTGTTCAAAATTTACGAAAACAGATTGAACAACGACATGCTGAAACTATTCAAGATCTTTCAAGTCAACTTACTTCTGAACGAGAAATGAGTGCCAGTATTCTGAAATTAAAGGAAGATCAAATACAAGTATTGCAAAAAGAGAACTACGAGATTAGAAATAAATTTGTAAATACATTGCAAGAAAATCAAGTTTTAGAAAATGAGAATGAGAATCTTCGTAATCAAATTGAAAAACTTAAACAATCAAACAATGAGTTTTTAACTCAAATAAAAATGTTGGCGGCAGAGCACGATGAGGTATACAAATGATTTTTTAAATGAAAGAAATAATGTAATTGTTTCATATATTATATATTTCATATATTATGAATAATTTTAGTCGCAAAATATAGAAATAAAACATCAACAAGAAGTTATATACTTGGTAGAACGTATCAAACAGTTGCAGTCAGAAGCAGTTCTTTTACAAGATCAAAATGATGAACTTACAGCAGAATTAGAAAGTTTAAAATTGCATGATCATACTACAAATACAAGGTAACACATACAATAAAAAATCATTAAAAAAAATTTCAACAAATAATAATACAAATGAAGATAAAATTTAACTATATTTTAATTGTTGCAGACAAAATAATTTTTCTGATACTCATACAGCAAAAAATACACAGTCCAATGAAGCTGAAAGTAATAAAAATAATTTCATATAAGTTTTATTTTTATTTTTTAGTGTAATAAAATTAATGTATAATATATTTTCAGATAAGGAAACATTTATAATCGAAGAAGATGACTTAGATGTTGTTTTTAAACATTCCATGTCTGTAAGTAATAATAATTCATATTGTTTAATCATAATTCATATTAATAGTAATTGTCCATTTATATATATTCTATTTTATCTATACAGCCATCTTGTAATTCCAATGAAAATGATAATACGGAAAATTATAAAAAGATAGATTTAAAACAATTTAAAGATATAGTTATAAAACAGTTAAAAAGTATTTTAGTTAATAATAATAAGTGTACATTAGAAAATTGTGCATTTAAAGATGAAGTATCAGGAATGATTATGAGATTAAAATCCAATTTAAATACTCAAGTTTTCAAAGAGCCTGAATTTATCAAAAGTATTGCATCTGAAATGGAAACAGAATCTGAAGAAAAAACGAGCGATTTTATTATTTCTAGACATAAGAATTCCGTTTTTCTTAATTCTAAACGAATAGTAACATCCAATAGTAATGATAATAATTATGATGTTGATTATTTTAGTAATCAGGATATGAAATGTTCATCACAAAATAAAATTTCAAGTCTTAGAGATTATCCTCCTCGTAAAGAAGAACACATAAATGCAGATCATTTAAAATCAAATAAGGAGAAAGATATTTTAAACAATATCGCAAAAATTACTAATGAAGTTGGTACAAGAACTAATTCAAGTTTAATAAAAAATGAATTGTCTGAAAATGTTTCCTTAAATTTAAAGTTAAAAGAGATTGAAACAACTCATGCTGCAGAAAAAAAACAATTGATTGAACAATGTGCAGAATTAGAAAGAAGTCTTGAAATGTTAAAGGCAGAATATGAAGAGTGTGAAGATTACTGGACTGCTAAATTAGAAGAAGAAAGACAACTTTTTGAACAGGAACAAAAAATTAGTGATGAAAAATTTTCAGAACTTATAGCTAAGATGGCAGAATATGAAGAACTAATTAGTCCAATAGACAAAGTAAAAAATAATGGGCGATTATCTCCAATTGAAGAAAAGTTTAATTTAGAACAACAAGTAAGAAACATTTTTTCTTTTTTTTTCTTTTTTTTTATTATATATATAAATTATTTTATTTTGTTAATTACTGTAATTTTCTTTTTAACTTGGTAAAAATGTTTATTTTTCAAATTTATTGTTAAATAATTATAATTTATTAAATCATAATTATAGTTTTTTCTTATATATTATTTTATTTGTACAGTATTTAGACCTTGAAGAGGAATTTGAAAAATGGAAAAGACAAATGGAAGAAGAAATTTCTCAAAAAGATAGTGAAATTAAAGATTTACACGAGAAAACAAGGTCTTTAGAACGACCTATAATGATTGACGTATCTACACAAGTTACAGATGAATTCATTTTTCCGTCTTTATTAACACGATCAAATTACGTACATAATGATTCATTCAATAGTCAGCAGGCCAGTGAATCGGTTTCAAAATTAGTTCAATGTACTGATAATATTCGCAATTTGCCTGAAGAATTTAAATTTAATAGAATTCTAGAATCTACCACCTCATCAAATGATTTCTCTCCACGATTATCGAAAGATGATATAAATGGTGACAATTGTGATTTACACCAGATATATACCCATTATCATCACAATGCGGAATACTATTTTGTATATGAACAGAATACGTTAAAGTTACAAAATTTAAGAGTTCCAAATTGTCAGTGCATGCCAAATGATGCACAAGTAATTTGTATAAATATTGATGTATTACACAATTTAAGTATGAAGCTTCAGGCACAAGAGCGTAAAAAACAGCAGTTACAAGAATGTTTTAAGCAACAACAATACCACACTGAACGTATATTACAACGTAAGTTTTACAATTTTATTTAAATAATTGTATGTTCAAATATTAAATCGCTTTTATTTCAGATATTATGTCTCAACATCAAACAGAAATATCTCAATTACAATGTCTTCTTCGTAGTACTCAAGAAAGACTTCAAAAAGAATTTCAAACAAATGTAGAACAGGTAATATAATTATTATAATTTCTTTAAAGATTTGGGATTGTACTAATCTCAATAACTATGTATTTTAGACCCTATTTGGTGTAATACTTTTTTTCGGGAATTCGGAAAAAAAATATTAACTATTCCATTTAAAAAATTGTGACCTTCATATCTTGATAAAAAAGCAAAATAACATAAAACTGATTACAGTACTATGTCCCCCTGGAAGCCATGTAACTTCTATCTGAACATTTTTCCGTACAACAAATATTTTATGAGTTATTTGAGTCGTCAAGTTACGAGACTTACTCTGTATAATTTTAAACCAGCGTCTCCTTTTATTTTATGAATATCTTAATATCTAACCATAATAAAATGTCTACTAACAAATAATACTAGTTACTAATAGGCAATATTAGATATATAATATACAATATAAGATTAGATTCTATTGTAATACCGTTTGAGTTCAATATAAAATTTATGATTAAATATGTTTTTAATTTTTTTTTATCATTCTTTACAGGCTGAACAATTGACACGAAATGATGTATTAGTAGAACACTTATATACTGAAAATGCCCGCTTAACAGCGAATTTAAAACGTTTACAGCAACATTATAAAATGCTAACAGGATTAAATGCTGATTTAACTCCAATATGATATTACAATCAATTATTAATATATGAAAGACAGAGTTTTCTTAATAAAATATTAGTAATAATGCTAATATTTTAATTTCGGAGTGTAAGTCAGGGATAGATATTCTATCTCAATTGTTAATTGTGATACATGCTATTTTTTTTTTTAATTACAGTATCAGAACAAGAATAAATTTTTTATGACACTGCTGATGTTAAATTATAAGGTAGTTAAAAAAGCAGTTATTTTTTTTATTTGTATCATATTTTCATTTAGCATTTTGAAATATATACAGATATATTAGTATGCGTATATAATGTCGTAATGATTATATATACATATATTTTTTTGGTTTTTATCTTGTGTATATATGTAGAGAGAAATTATATGGACATACATCATAACATCGACGACACAATTTATTATATATCATAATATAGTAATATCATGTAATGTGATAAACAGAAAATGTTGTTTTGTCTTGAAAATAATGTATTATAAAAGAAAATGTATGAAATTATCAGTCATAAAAAAAAGTTGAAGTAATTAGAAATTTATATTTGTGTTTAAAATTAACAGTATCTATTATTAAGTTTAAATTGTTTTTAATGTAACCAGAATTTGAAAAATTAGTACATTCATTATTGAAACACTTTATAACGTTAATAATTATCGATAGAAACATATAATCTGCCTTATAATTTGTAAGTTACAGTATAGTAAGGATATCTTTTTTAAATTCTATTTACATTTTTAGAAGTATTATTTATACAAAATTAAAAGAAACAAACAGCTTAATCATAATAGAAAAGATCCAAAGTAATTAGTATAAAAAATTCATTATTTTTTATTTATTATTATTATTGTTAGATAGATATTTCCAAATAGTTTGCTTAAATTTTTTAGCCTGAATGCCAAAGATAGGAAATTCCAACTTTATTAAGTATAAACTTATTTGTTATATACAAGTAAATTATTTTCTTGAAAGTTTTCAAAGTAAAGTAAAAGTAAAATTATTTTATTTTTTTCCTATGATATGTATCCTTTACACATAGAATGAAACTTGTACGAAACAAATATATATTACATAGTAATGTTATCATTTATAATAAAACAGTTAAGAAAAATTAAATCGTAATATTGATTATCTATAAATTATCTATAGATTATAGATTATTTTATTTGAATCTATTGAATTTATTAGCAAAATTTTTTGGTATAAATTATTTTATTTAAACTTTCAAAACTTTCAGTATTACAAATTCAGAATTTTATTATGCATAATCAAGATTAATGCTGTTGTGATCAATATTTTAGGGTCAATATATTAATTATAATTCAATAATCACATGAGAATATACGTTTATACAAATTAATATTGTAACAATATATTGAATATTATATTTAGTTCAACATGTTAATAATAATTACTATGTACATACTATGCATATACGACCTAGTTTGTATAGTAGCTACTCTAATGCAGATTTATGTAATTTCGATCATATTGCTGCATTAAAAAACAATTTGTACATGATATTTATATAACGTTTGTATATTACCATACTGCAGCAAACTAAGTTTCTTCATATTTGCCTTATAATCTACATTAAGATTTTTACACAATCTTTATTACTATATATATATATATATATGTACATTTTCTTTTATATATTATATTCCTCTATTATATTAGTGTTAAATTATCTCGTCTTCAAGCATTCTATAGTTTCTATAGTATAATGGAATTGTTAAACGGCAATAATTACCGTAATATTGTAAGCAAATTATACGACTTTAAAACAATAATTATAAATCTAAGTATAATTTGTTTTACTATTACAAAAATTACTTTCTTATTGTATTTACACTGTATGTTAAAGTGTACAAAATGTATCAATAATTAAAGAGCATAAAAGAAAAAAAAACTTCAAATCAAATTCAAATTTCTTATGATTATACCTTAATATTATACCTTTATTTATTTATTTATTTATATTATTTACATTTCACTTTTATTACGATTTGAAATTGTATTTAATAAATAATGGTAAAAATTTAATTGTATTTAATAAATAATAATAAAAATTTTCAATTTTTCAAATTTATTTTACGTACTTCATATGTGCATTGTTATTGTCAATAGATTTTTTATTCAATCTACATGGTGTTCCGAATTTAGATGTTAAAACTTTAGAACTGATAAATTAAGAAAAAAAATTTTTTAAAGATTTGTTAGTTTCCGATCTACTAATTTTCTGCTAGAAAGTCGTAAAACAATTTTTATTTTCCTACTTATTCAGTAAGTTTATTCGATGGTAATCAAATCGACCAAATCGTAATTGCGGTGCATCAAATATCATCAGAACTAACATCTCACTGCAGAATAGTCAATGTAATGCTTGCATTGCTGCAAATTACATAGTATCTTTATTAAATAAATAATATAAATATAGATGATATATTGTACGATATATACAATTACACACTTGCACAATTCGACAAGTTATCCGACTCGTTTGATAGCTTGCTCAGAATTGCCCCTCAATTAACCCCTATCTTTACTTCCGAGTGTCATTTGTAGTCTTCAGGTAGCATCCTTATTCCTTCTAGGGATCTTGCAATTCAATTTGGGAAGCTCTGAGCGTCCTTTGTATCTGTTTTATGATCGACCTTCAATGTGAATTTTATTCTACTACCGACTTTCTTTACATGATATTGACATAGAAAAATCACTTGTTTCAATATTTAAAAGAAATTAATTTTTTTCTCACTGCATTTATTTTGTTATAGATTTGGAAATACGCGATGAGGAATAGTAATAACGAACGCGAAGAAGTGATGTCAGAGCGACTGCACGAAAAATACACCGACAGCCAAGTAGACTAATAGCGTGTAGAGAGATTTTCTGATACATATGAGGTCGACTCTCTTTGTGTCTTCTTCCCAATCACGTGATTGAGGGAGGTAGGTCATTTTTGGCCGAAACGTATCATTGGGCAAAGGTCAGTTCCGTAAAGTAATTTTCGCAATTACTTTATGGGCCTAACGGTACTGTCCAGAGATGCGTTCCTTGCATTATATTTATACGTTTATTGGGCCTGGCTAATAGGACCAAGGCTAGAAGAAGACTGCGTCACCTATATAGATTCTTTTTCTTTAAATACTTGTATTTCGTTTTTTTTTTTTTTTTTTTTTGTTT